CAGCAGGATAATTTACGTTATGCAAAATAATCCGGGTTAAGAATACAGTATTCCAATCTCTACACTGATTTCCTGTAAATTGTCACCATATCCTATGGTATGTGCAGGGATGACTTAGCAATTAGATCATGCTAGTAACACAAAAACTATTCTATTTAAAGGATGCAGGATAAGGGGGCTTGTTAGTCTAATAATTCTTTACTTCTTAGGCCATGCTATATTGCTATTATCACGTTATCTGGTGAAGCTGGGTTCCTGTGTCCTCATTTAGGGACCAGGATATGTGATACAATCTTCAAAAGCCCTGAGCTGTAAGCAAATCTCACTGCCTTTTCTGGGAACTACTTCCCATTTTATTGCTTTCCAGATGAATCATTTAAATATTAATGTGCCTAAATATAGATACAGGAGCCTGATTTTAGACCTTTATTTATTTTGTCTTTAAATTTTCAAGTTGTCTGCAAAATAAATCCATTACCTACAGATCTATTGACCACAGCAAAAGAAATAGTGACTGACTCTCCCGAGACATCCTGTGCTTCACTATACTACTCGTGGAAATGGTCCATTCATATACCCTGCTGAGCCAAGTGAAAAATGGCTGATTTAAATTCCCACTAGAAAAGTAATTAATATTGTGAAAAACTTACCAGGATTTCATCAGATGTGCTGGCTAAAATGAGAATACATGATTCCCACAATACCCCTAGTGAGTGGTGGAGTGAACACGTGATGAAGGCAGGAATACCAGGCGAGCGATAAGCATTCAATAGAATCCTACTATGCAACCAAAGAGCTGTACCAGTACTTCATGGTGCAGGGGACCAACGTTAGCTAGCAAGCTCCCTCAGCTCCATGTAGACTTCATCAGAGCATGTCTTCATCCAAAGGAAACAGATGCTCATTTATAGTGCATTAGCATAAGACAACAGAAACTGGCCAGCAATAATTATTTTGCTACACTAGTAAGGGTGCAACCATGTAAGTCGAATTTCTCCAGCTGGTGAAGGCTACAGGGGAATTCATCTACTTTATTGAGTGGAAGACTCAGGGCCTACAGCTTATGACTAGCACATTGCCACTTGTCAAGCCACCTAAGGCCAAATGCAATCACTTCTCCCCTGTTTCAGCTGCATCCTGCTTTCAGTAAGTGTTAAAAACTGGGCCAGAGCATCAAGCTAAAAAGGAGAGAGGCCACTCAAATACAAGAGGAACGGGAACTCCCAAATGAGATCAGCTGTTTAGAAGAGATCAGGCATGAAACCTGTTAGGTATTGAAGGCAAGCATAAATTAATAAACATATGTATTAGTTATTCCTCACAGCAGTGAGTGGATTTAACAAGGCAATCTTTTGTCCTCATATTCTCCTGGGGTGAAGAATTACAATTGGTGGCAATAGAAATATCTCAGCCTTTCAGAGCTTTATTAGGTTTCTAGTCTGACTCACTCATTTTTCAGGCTGAGGCAATTTTTTCTTTTTTAAATCATTAGCAGTTCAAATCATCCAAACAGTGTTCTCATTTTACAAGACTTCAGACCTTATAAATTCATAGAACAATAGATGGGAAAGACCTGTTGGGTTAATTGTCCCATCTCCCCATACCATTATAGGATAGATTTCTGCAGCACATTTCTCAATATATTTCCTGTCTTGTCTTAAATGGTCTTCCATTTATTTTGGCTGACTACAGAATAATTAAATTATATCATCTCAGGAGGGTTCTTTAATGATATTTGAGAATATTTTCTACTCTCAAACTCCTTATTTCTACTACTAATAGTGGAACCATGTAAGATGTATCTATTCACCCAGGATGCTTTCATACTTAAACATTTTAACACAAGAGTCAAACCTTTGTTACTCATCACACAATTGTGTAATTAAAAATATAAAAGCATAGTAACAATGACAAATGAAAAACAGATGTGGCAGCTGTTTTGTCAGCTGGAAATGCAAAAGAAGTCTTCAAATCATCAGATAAGGCAATTTATGTCTACCTTTAGCTCATTTAGACCCCGAAGGACACATGAAAGTCCTCTCCTGTAATCCACGTGCACTTCAGTGGTTTTGTATTTATGAATGGTTTTCTGAACTGACAAAGATTTTGTGTCACTGCGGTAGTCTGAACTGAAGGAACTAATACTAATATTATCTCCTCACAAGATGTTAGGTATTCCAATTAAGCTCTACTGATCCTTCATGTAACTGCTGAAAAGATATGAGCAGAGCTAATGGAGCCTGGCTTCCTGAAGTCTGTCACCTGTTTCTGTGCCTTTTTAAGAATATTACAATTTTCCATGCGTAAGCAGGAACTCCCCCTTTCTTACAATTACAACTCTCCATCCACAGAGTAGTTTGGAAATTAAATGCATGCTGTTATGCTGAATTGCAGAAATTACCCAGTAGGATTTTAAGTTAGGGCTCAGCTTGCAAATGCTTACGTGATCATCTCTCCTTTCTCTACCTATTTATTTAAAGAACCTGTAAACTAAATCACATAATTCATGTCCTACCACCTGAGACGGGATCACCTTATAGTCCAACTCTCCCCTAGCACATATGCCAAGACATGAAGGTCTATATATCTGTGTGTATGTGTTCGTGCATATATTAGCATATGATATTGATTATTGTTCTTTTAGGAAGTCCATGAAATCTAAACCTGGGAATTAAACCATGTCTTACACATTCTCAGTTATGTTGTTTTTCCTCTATTGTTAAACAGGAATATGAATAAGTTGGGCAATTACTGGCCAAGCCTGTCATTGCTTAAGAACGAGCATACAGAAACATGCATACCATCAGAGGCACTGATTTCCACTCATTCTTACTTCAGCAAGTTT